GAGGAAGGCGGCGGCGGCGACGGCGGCGGGGAGAAGGAGGAGGGAAGAAGGAAAAGGGCGGGCGGAGGGTTCTGCGCATCCTATCCGCCAGACCCCTTGTGAGGCCACCAGGCTGAAGGCCGAAGTTGCTGCTCCCTGCGCCAGTTGCAGCCTCAAGTCTCCATTGTTACAGTCCTGGTTTCTGCTTCCTACTGCAAACTGTTGAAGTCCGCGCGAGGGGGGGGCCAAAAGAGCAGTTTACCACGCCTGGATCGCGTTGCCTGAATTCACGGGGGGGCGTGGGACACGTAGAAATACTTCAGATTCGCGTCCCCCAAGCCATAATCTCTCGTAAATTACACAATGTTCGCGTCCCCGAGGCTACAATCCCTTGTAAATTGTTGACGCTTCGCGAATTCCCACCAGCCCATCCAGAAACGATGCCCAGAGGAATTGCCTCCATCAGGGAAGCGGGCAGCACACAGAGGAAGCCGTTATGAGACATCTTGGGATATCTTGCGCCATCTTGGAGGTCATTTTGGGCTCTCCCAGGCGCTCTTGGAGTCATCTTAATCAGTGCCCCCCCAAGAGGCCAACATGTGGTTAAAACTTTCGTAGAATCAATGATCTGGCATTCTCGCCGAGGCCTCTTGGAACATCTTGGGTGCCTCTGGGGGGTCTCTTGGGGCCTCTTGGGGGTCTCTTGGGGGCCTCCAGGGGGCCTCTTGGGGGCCTCTTAGGGCCATGTCAGGGCCATCTTGGGACCTCTTGGGGCCTCCTGGGCGCTTCTTGGGACCATCTTGGAGGAGATCGATCAAAAAAGAGAGGAGCTTCAATTAGGGCCCCTCCCTCAGGAGGCCAAAATGGGGCCAAAACCAAGTAATTACGCTACCGAGGAACCCCACATACTTATATTATGGCTGGGGTGATGATAGCTGAAGTGAAGCATGTGAGAACGATGTTGGTAGCCGTTGCCCCGCCGATACCGCACGGACGACCGTCACGGATAGCGGCCGCGCTCAGGGACCACCCCGTGCGCACTCCCTGTGGTGTCGAGAAAACGTCACGCCTGCTGTGCGCTGGACGACCGTCACGGATAGCGGCCGCGCTCAGGGACCACCCCGTGCGCACCCCCTGTGGTGTCGAGAAAACGCCACGCCTGCTGTGCCCTGGACGACCGTCACGGATAGCGGCCGCGCTCCGGGACCACCCCGTGCGCACCCCCTGTGGTGTCGAGAAATCGCCACGCCTGCTGTGCCCTGGGCGACCGTCACGGACAGCGGCCGCGCTCAGGGACCCACCCCGTGCGCACCCCCTGTGGTGTCGAAAACGCCACGCCTGCTGTGCCCTGGACGACCGTCACGGATAGCGGCCGCGCTCAGGGACCAAACCGTGGCGCACCCCCTGTGTTAGTCGAGAAAACGCCACGCCTGCTTTGGCCCTGGATGGACGACCGTCACGGATAGCGGCCGCGCTCCAGGACCACCCCGTGCGCACCCCTGTGTGGTGAATACAACGCCACGCCTGCTGTGCCCTGGACGACCGCACGGATAGCGGCCCGGCGCTCAAGGACCACCCCGTCGCACCCCCCTGTGGTGCCGAGAAAACGCCGCGCCTGTTGTGCCCTGGACGACCGTCACGGATAGCGGCCGCGCTCAGGGACCACCCCGTGCGCACCCCCTGGGGTGTCGAGAAAACGCCACGCCTGCTGTTCCCTGGACGACCGTCACGGATAGCGGCCGCGCTCACGGACCACCCCGTGCGCACCCCCTGTGGTGCCGAGAAAACGCCACGCCTGCTGTGCCCTGGACGACCGTCACGGATAGCGGCCGCGCTCAGGGACCACCCCGTGCGCATCCCCTGTTGTGTCGATGAAAACGCCACGCCTGCTGTGCCCTGGACGACCGTCACGGTAGCGGCCGCGCTCAGGGACCACCCCGTGCGCACCCCCTGTGGTGTCGAGAAAACGCCACGCCTGCTGTGCGCTGGACGACCGTCACGGATAGCGGCCGCGCTCAGGGACCACCCCGTGCGCACCCTCTGTGGTGTCGAGAAAACGCCACGCCTGCTGTGCCCTGGACGACCGTCACGGATAGCGGCCGCGCTCAGGGACCACCCCGTGCGCACCCCCTGCGGTGTCGAGAAAACGCCACGCCTGCTGTGCCCTGGACGACCGTCACGGGTAGCGGCCGCGTTCAAGGACCACCCCGTGCGCACCCCCTGTGGTGTCGAGAAAACGCTGCGCGGCGCTGTGTTGTGAAGTGTGCTACGCGTGTCTCATGCACGTGCCGTGCAGGTGTCGCGCGTGGGTGAGGGAGTGTATGTGTGTATGTGTGTTTGTGTTTGTGTGTGTGTGTCTGTTTGTTTGTGTGTATGTGTCTGTGTCGGTGCTTGTGTATTTGTATGTGTGTATGTATGTCACGTCTGCCACGATTTGCGGGAGAGGGATGTGTGTGCGGGACACGCGGACGCGACGCGGCAGGGAATTACGCTACCGAGGAACCCCTCATACTTTTATTATGGCTGGGGTGGTGATAGCTGCAGTGAAGCATGTAAGAATGATGTTGGTGGCCGTTGCCCCGCCGATACCGCAAGGACGACCGTCACGGATAGCGGCCGCGCTCACGGACCACCCCGTGCGCACCCCCTGTGGTGTCGAGAAAACGCCACGCCTGCTGTGCCCTGGACGACCTTCACGGGTAGCGGCCGCGCTCAGGGACCACCCCGTGCGCACCCCCTGTGGTGTCGAGAAAACGCCACGCCTGCTGTGCCCTGGACGACCTTCACGGGTAGCGACCGCGCTCAAGGACCACCCCGTGCGCACCCCCTGTGGTGTCGAGAAAACGCCACGCCTGCTGTGCCCTGGACGACCGTCACGGATAACGGCCGCGCTCAGGGACCACCACGTGCGCACCCCCTGTGGTGTCGAGAAAACGCCACGCCTGCTGTGCCATGAGACGACCGTCACGGATAGCGGCCGCGCTCATGGAACCACCCCGTGCGCACCTCCCTGTGGTGTCGATAAACGCCACCGCCTGCTTCCCCCTGGACGACCGTCCGGATAGCGGCCGCACTGAGACAAGGACGCACCCCGGTGCGCACCCCTGTGGTGTCGATAAAACGCCCAACGCCTGCTGTGCCCTGGACGACCGTCACGGATAGCGGCCGCGCTCAGGGACCACCCCGTGCGCACCCCTTGTTGTGTCGAGAAAACGCCCACGCCTTCTGTGCCCTGACGACCGTCAACGGATAGCGGCCACGCTCGGGTACCCACCCGTAGCGCACCCCCCGTGGGTCGAGAAACGCCACGCCGTTGTGCCCTGGACGACCGCCCCACATAGCGGCCGCGCTCAGGGACCACCCCGTGCGCACCCCCTGGCGGTGTCGAGAAAACGTCACGCCTGCTGTGCCCTGGACGACCGTCAAGGATGGCGGCCGCGCTCAGGAATCACCCCGTGCGCACCCCCTTCGTGGTGTCGAGAAAACGCCACGCCTGCTGTGCCGTGGGCGACCGTCACGGATAGCGGCCGCGTTCAGGGACCACCCCGTGCGCCCCCCTTGTGGTGTCGAGTAAGCGCCACGCCTGCTGTGCCCTGGACGACCGTCACGGATAGCGGCCGCGCTCAGGGACCACCCCGTGCGCACCCCCTTGTGGCGTCGAGAAAACGCCACGCCTGCTGTGCCCTGGACGACCGTCACGGATAGCGGCCGCGCTCAGGGACCACCCCGTGCGCACCCCCTGTGGTGTCGGGAAAACGCCACGCCTGCTGTGCCCTGGACGACCGTCACGGATAGCGGCCGCGCTCAGGGACCACCCCGTGCGCACCCCCTGTGGTGTCGAGAAAACGTTGCGTTGCGCTGCGTTGTGAAGTGTGCTACGCATGTCTCATGTACGTGCCGTACAGGTGTTGCGCGTGGGTGAGGGAGTGCATGTGTGTATGTGTGTTTGTGCCTGTGTGTGTTCGTTTGTCTGTGTATGTGTCTGTGTCGGTGTGCCTGTGTATTTGTACGTATGTCACGTCTGCCACGCTCTGCGGGGGAGGGAGGTGTGTGAGGGAGACGCGGGTACGACGCGGCAGGAAGAAAACCAGAACCTCACGAAACATGCGGGGAAGAAAAACCAGACCCCCACGAAACATGTGCTTCCTCGCCGAGGCCGTTTTGGACGCCCTGACACCTCGCGACCCCCCCCCCCTCCAGGTCCAGGGGAGGGGGTAGGTGGAGGGGTCAAGACCCCCTCCCCGCCCGCAAGCCGTCTCGCTCACTCCCACCCGCCCTCCCAACACATACGTAGCACCCGAGTCTGGCCCGAGCCTCAGCATATTCAGCAGTCGTCTTTGGACGGGCAGCTACTGGGGGCTAATCCGCCGCCGCCGCCGCCGCTGCCGCCGCCGCCGCCGCAGCCGCCGCCGCCGCAGCCGCAGCCGCAGCCGCCGCAGCCGCCGCCGCAGCCGCAGCCGCAGCCGCAGCCGCCGCAGCCGCCGCCGCCGCCGCCGCTTCAGCCGCCGCAGCCGCCGCCGCCGCCAAGTGTACTCTGTATTGTTTTTTGACAGGGATGGCGGGGGGGGGCCGCATCGGGTTGGCTGCGCATCTTCCGAATTTGGAGGCAGAGTGTGTTTTGTACTGTTTTTGTACAAGGGATGGTAGGGCCATGTTGTCATTGGACTCGGTTGGCCCCTAGTCGCCTGGGGGAGGGGGTGTTTATTAATGGGAAACAGTGATAAGCCCCTCCAGAAGGGAGAAGAGGGAGGGGTGGAAGAGGAACGCTCTAAACCAACCGGACGCCAGAGGGCTGGTGTATTATACCCCTCACAAATCACAACAGCCATCGGGCGTCGGTGGTTTTAGAGCGTTTCCCTCTTCCCCCCTCCGTCTTCCCTCCGGTAGGGTTTTACCCTCCCCCTACCCGGTCGACATGGACCCTGACGGGGGGGGTCGCCGGTGTCGGGAGGGGCGTCCCAAAACGGCCTCGTCGAGGAAGCCAAATCATTGGTTTTACTAAATTTGCAGCCCATTTTGAC